TAACCAAACTGCCTTAGGTCCTTCTAGTCTTATTTTTGGGGTTGTAAAGTCAGCTCATCTTAGAATGAGGTATGGCTTGACAGCTTTCTTCAGAAGTAAGACAAACTACAAACCTACTTCTTGCTTGAAGACAGAGTCTCTTTCCCAGGTATTCTTTTTGTATATATATGTACATATATATTACTGTAAAAGTTGCAAACTTCTTGAAATAGAAATTTAAAGAACTACAGAACTTTTAAGTTCTTCACGCTAAACCACACTTCACACTAAACCACAATACCAGTTTTACAGAAGATTAAAAAGTCTAAATCCAAAAGAAAGGATTTGCCCTTACAGGAGGTGACAGTGTTTAGAAGAACAATTTTGCTACAAAATTAATCTTAACCAAACAGATTGCTATTACCAAATAAGCAGACAAAACCACAGGTTTAAAAGAGTAAAACATCGTAATTTTAAGCCAAATTTGCAAGACAAGAACATTTAAATCTCCTTTTTGAGTTCATCAACAGCCTACCTAAGATACATGCTATAGACCTACCTGTCAGTAACCATAGAAAGTATCAGTGAACTTGTGTGTTCTGCAAATCTGACTATTAAAACTGAACTTCAGAAGTCTATTCATTAACCCTAAATCTTTTGGTGAAAAATTAATTAAAATGAATGCATTGCTTGCACAAACTTGTATAGGACTTTGACAGTGCAGATAACAGACTGACATCCAAAAAAATCCTCTCCAAGTTTTTACCAGGAGATGTGCCTGAGCAAGCAGAGTAACTGAAGAAAGTATAAAGTAATGAAGAATAAATTACTTTCAGACTCTGCAAGTAAAACACAGGCAGCCAGGCAAACATAAATCCCAGCTGCAGAACTCAATGTAACATGTGTACACACATGCATGCAAACATCATACGTGCATACATGTATTTTATGCATGTACGCATGCATATGCAACATAAGATAACCTGCTGTGCATTTATACACAACATATGCACACACAACTTGGAAATATACCATATAGTGCAATTTAGGAGATCTYTCTTCTTTTTTGGATTACAGGGCTTTCATGGCATGACAAATAGATACTTAAAAGGTAAATGCCAATACTGGGCACAATCACCAAGGCCAACTTATAAACTGCAATATCCTAATATCAGCTAGTTCAAAGTGAGTAAATATCAAGCTAGCAGTAGGTGTAAGTCTTGTTCATTAACTTCTGTCATTAATCCTTCATGTATAGCAAAGCAAACATTGCAGGTCCTGCGAAGGGGTGATTCTGTGATCCCAGAGGCTTATGCTCAATTTCCTGCTGCCCTCATGACAAATCTCTCCCCTGGGAATTTAAAGTCTTCAAGAGCATTCCCAAGAGCATTCTTAATTTGCATTCGGGGAAAAAATATTCTTATACAGTTGTATAAAGTCTAATGAGTATACAATGCAAATATGTTAGGTATTTATGAATGTGACTGCTCTCATAGATGGGTGGAAACAAGGACAGTGAACGCATAAAATGTTGCATGCTTATAACCCTGCTCTAAATAAAGCTAAAATTGTTATAACTATTATTAAACTTTTGGATTCCAGGATTTACACTCAAAAACAGTGTGTTGAGGCAGGATGGGTGAGACAGGACTCAATTGAAACACCCAAATAAAGCCTTTTGAGGAGGAACTTGGCGGGGGCGGAGGGGGAGGAAATAAGTTGCTTGGGAAATAGGTTAGGCACCAAATACTACAGATGCTTAGAAAGTTTCCAGCATAGCATTTTCTCAGAAGAAAATGACAGCTCAAAGCTTAACCTTTAATTTTTATTACATGTGTCAATTTTGACAAACTTTCCGTATGACTCTTGAAGGAAAATTTTAAATTTTTCAGAATTATTTTACCTGAAAACTTTGGAAAGGCAATATTGCTATGCATCATATTCAAAAGACTATTTAAATAAAACATGTGAGGTTACCAAATCCACCTGGAAAATGGAGATGTGGAAATTTGTTTCAGGAAAGATTTCAAGGCCTCAGGTCTGTATTCCAATTGAGATTTAAAAAGAAGAAAGCTGAAGCTTCAGAAATCCTTGTCCAACTCTTCTAAACACAAAGATAGGAGGGGGGGGGTTGGGGTTTTTTTTGTTGTTGTTGTTGTTTTTTTGTTTTGTTTTGTTTTGGTTTTTTTTACAGTTAAAGAAGCCAGATGCATCGGAAAAGCTTACAGTGATCCTGTAACATTCATGCTTTCATGCTCAAACCCAGCAATACACAAACTAACTAGTATTTGTGAAAATAAAAGGATATGAAGCAATCTATATATGTATTTTTAAAATATTTTACAATCTTTGTTCTCTTCATCCATGCTTTGAGCATGTTTAAGAATCTGCCAAAAGAGCAGCCCCTAACTTTGAAAATAAAAGCCACAATCTTCACCACATATTCCTAGGACCAGAGGCTCTTTCCACATTCCTTCTCAAAGATCCAGRCAAACAAGGACTAGTCAGAACCTGGGCTACTATTTGAGAGAACCTCAAACCCAGATGTTCATGCAAACTTACCTACGTACTAAAAATTTCACTCTGGAGACCACATGAGCCATTTTAGAGGTGATGAAAGGCAGAGTAAATCAGGGACTATCTAGAGGTGCAGACTAATATTCTACCACTACAAGGCTCAGCCCCACTTTACCCTATTTTCAGTGATGAATTCCCAGTTCCCTAATGCCAACGYTAATATTTGCACAAGGTGGAGAGGCAGATCAGAGATCTAATCTATGTAAAGAGTAACCTTTAAAAAAAGACAGATTGTCTTTCAGACACCYGACCTAGCTGACTGTATACCTACATAAATACTAGTGTCAGTGCAAAGGAAAGCATTAAAAAACAGCACTACCGGATAGAAAAGTATTATCTTGTCTAATGGTAAAGTGTCTGTGAGATGACAGTGTCCATGAAGTTATACCCTAAGTAAACATAAGATTTTASGTATGTCACAATAGAAATGATCCTCCTTATCACAAAGGCCTAACACCTGCATCTACCTTAATACACTCCAGGCCCAAAAGCCCGGGACCTGCCCCTTCTCAATATGGAAGTATACTGAGTGGAAGTATATTAAATGGAAGACCATTCAAACCACAGAGGTCTGCCCCCATCAACAAGAGGGCTGACACTGCCCACTCCAGAATACAGAGAGCAGGAACTATGGAAGAGCAAGTGTCCTATAAATCCAAACGAGTGCTGTGACATGATGTACGTGAGTGATCTATGTACACTGGGATCAGACTGCAAGGTGGGARGAACCAGAATGGTTAAGGTTGGCAGGGACCTCTAGASATCATCTAGTCCAACCTTCCTGCTCAAGAAGGGACACCTACAGCAKRTGGCACAGGGTGGCATCCAGGCAGGTTTTGAAGACCTCCAGAGKAGGAGACTCCACAACCTCCCTGGGCAGCCTGTTCCAGCCTGTTCCATAGCCTTGGGACACCCCCATTTCATTCATCAGCCTGGCTAACTCAGTCCCAGGCATCTGCTCTTGCGCCTGGGAGCCAYGCCACAAGCACCACTCCTTGCCTCCTCCACAGTGCCAGACTGTAGCAGAGGGCAAACCCCTTCCATGGGAACTTCAGTTACCCCTCCTGACAGCCCTCTCCTCATCTCTTGGAGCAGAGCTCCTCCTTGGTCCATGGAAAAATGAAGGTATGAGACTCATCTGACCAACAGGTCAAGCACTTCACAAACTCGTATTACAGAATTAAAATTCTATTCTTGAAAAATAAGAGATCAAATTTACTTTACACATTGTAATCCAATGGCATTTCATTATTTGACCTACAGCATCACTTAAGCACTAATGAGACATTAGATGGATGCATACAGATATTGAAGAACGATACCCACCACAGAGTCCTTTATGTATATTAGTAAAACAAAAAGGAAAATATAAAAGCAAAGTTGGATACACCACACTGCAGAAAATAGTAGCAGAGACAAGACCAGAAACCAAATCTCCTGGATCCTGGGAGATCAGGAGATTTGCACCAAAAAATTGGACCATGATGCTTTTCACTGCCTGTAAAATTAAATTTAAATAAATAATTCTGTATGTGAGAGACTTACCTTTAGGAAGCATATGTGTTACAACTAATGTAGAGCACATCCACAAGATACTTTTTATACTTAACAACATCTTGACCTACAGATAGAGAAAAAATGAGTTAGTGAGATGCCTTCCACCATGTCTTGTCAAGCGCTATAATTCAGTACCCTAATAATAGTCATTGATATTAGAATCCATTCATGATGCTTCAAATCTGCAAACACGTTGCCCAAGGACTTCCTGTTTTCAAGACCTTGCCATACATTTTATGGTGGAGATTTGTTATAATGACAATTTGGACCTATTTAAKAGAGATCCATAATGAATTTCAGATTACAGATTCTAAATATTCAGACTTAGTCCCCTTTATGTGTGCTCCTCACTTCTGAGGCTGACATTCTACARTTGAAAACTGTCCATAATAGCATATTGTAATTTTTATTCCAATTCCTAGTTAATGCATTGAATGTGAGCTAATACGAAAATTTAAGTGGTGCACTAAAAAAGCATTACAATTCCCATAAGTACCAGCTATGATAATGGCTTTGTAATGGTCTCTCTTCCACGTATCCTATATCTATCARTCATAAGAAATAGCTCTCAGCAACAGTTCGTGAAACACTGCTGTTGAAAAGGTTTTATCATCACAAAAATTGCAGATTTCCCAGTACTGCTGTCAAAATACACTACTTGGGCTCCTTGCTTCAGCTAGTACCCCAAACTGACACTTATTTCCAAACCCAAGACATTACAGTTTAACTGCTATTAGCAATCCTGGAACTGAGATTTACTAGATACATATCTATGTTATAACTATAAAACTTGTATTACATATTTTAGAATTTTATACATTAGCATGTTAATGCTTTCATATTTCCACATCATATTCTAGGGCTAAAACAATAACTAACATATCCACAAAACTTCACAGATTATATTGAACATGGCAGCTACACGAATACAGAGCAACATCCTCAGAAAACTGGTGATGCATCCAACCTCAAGAGAGGGCCCTACACAGCCTTGGGCTATAGCCCAAACTTCCCGAGAGTCTATGCCAATTCAGGTCTATCCTGTAATAGCTGAATGACTCAGAAAGGATGCAAAATATCTTCAACTAAGCCTTTGAAATGAGGCAATCTCTAACATGAAAGCATCCCAGCTCTAACATAACAGTTCAGAATTCCCATTCGAAATTACTGCAAACCCAAGAGTGCTTCATTCCCTTACATGATGAGGGCCAGAGTTGGCTATATGCTGAAACCTTCTCCCAGGGCGTGTGGGGAAGGAGCCCAGCTGCTTCCCATGCAGCTGWGCACAGTTTGCCAAAGACGCCCCATCTTTGCTTCAGTCATTCCAGAGTCCAGAGAGTATGATGTGATATCTCATTTTTGCAACATCAGCTCCGTAGAATTTGCACTTTTTATGACCAAATCCTAAACAAGAACTGACATCTTGGACTTAATTCAGGTTGAGTCCTAGTCTCCTCTAATATTTTTTGAGGACTAATGCATTTCCTCCAACAACACCCAAATGATGTTTCATGTTTCCCCTACTTACACAAGCAAGGCTAAACATGGATAAAACAAATCATCCACTTAACTAACTAAAAATCTAGACAGCGATTGTAGTACTCAGAAATTCATGAGGGAATGGGATTGTCAGAAGTGGAAAGGTTGCACACAAGGGGAAAAAAAAAAAAAGAAAAGGCTGCAGACATCATAGTCCATTTGAACGTAGCAGACCACTTTTCAAACACAGCAGTTGGGTTTGCTTAGATACTCATTAAATGACCCCCCCCTTACCACATGACATTTCAGGAAATAAGAGGTCAGTTYAAGTCTACACATGTGCACAAACCAGAAGGCACTTCAAGCTGCCCTCCTATCCTGAAACCCCTGTGAAATATCAAACACAGAAATTACTATAAATTAGCTCCTCCAGCAACACAACCACTCTAAAGAAGGCACAAAAACAAGAGCTGCAGAATTTTCTGCCCTCAAACACAGCAAATTGTTGACCTGCCTTCAAGACAATGCTAAAGTTCTGGCCTTGATGAGAGCACTGTGGCTCCAGACCTTCTTCTGAGATATTCTGTCCATATGGTTCCTATGTGTCACCCACTGGCTCATCAACAGCTAAACAACAGCTAAACAAAACAAAATAGTCAAGAACAAATTGTTTATAAGCTCAGCTTTTCATTTTTTCCCAAACTCTTATCTCCCTCCTCCCCCAGAAGGCAACCTTGGTTTCCCAAACAAGGATTAAAAGTTCACAGAGAAAAAGAATATTTTTTTTCCCCTTGGAGATTGACATGCTGCACCTAAACAGTGTAATTTGCATGATGCTCTATATCTCCTGTTCCACAGCATTTCCTTCAGGAAGAAGAAAGCCAATAGGTTTTCAAGTCAAATAGGGATAGGAAGGCTAAGGAAGTATCAATAGTCTCTTTGGAGGTCTCAAGTTAATAGCTTCTAATGTACTGAATCCTGAATCCTAATCCTGAAGGACAAGGATTACTTGATGACCTTTTACTTTTCACCTTACTCACAAAGGTGGCAAAAGTGAGTGTCAGCACAAGCTGGTGTGAAAATGCTTCTACCTAACTGGTGCTTGGCAAGAATGCACTCTTGAACAAGCCGTGATAATCCAGGATCTATCCTCTAACTGTTGAAAGTTTTTTTTTTTTTTTTTTTTTTTTTTATTTTATTTTTTATTGTTAAAGACACCTCAGATTGTCTCTTAAATGAGGCACTCCTGAATATGAGATCAACCTGTTCAGAACTACCACGCACTGACTGGTAATCCAAGGCTCTAGTGCAGGTTCAGACAAGCAGTAGCTACGTACTCACCATACACTGACACGCAGTCCTGAGTGTGAAGGCAGTCCTTCACACTCAGAGATGGTGCAGCTGGTTCCACATCTAGATAATTCCATCAATCCTACTGCATACAGGGGCCGAGAGAGCCAACAGCTCCAGCTGCCCTTGGGCTCAAAGCAGGACCTCATCTTCCCGTTCCACTACAGTTAGCACGCACACACACAAGTGTACTCCAAGTTCAATGTCACAAGTGTACACTGAACTCCAAGTGTAATTTGAGAAACTACCTGAAGAAGCYAGCAGTAGCTTTCCAGGCACTAAACATCAAGAAAATACAATAGCAGCATGTGAAAAYAGAACAACTGTGGAAGGCTAATTTCCAAGACATCCTATGGCTGCTGGAGCTTAGCTGATATCAGCCACCAGTACACAAGAGAATATCCATGGCTTCTTTATCTTCTCTATTCTGAGGCTCTTTCAAGTAATGAAAGATGTTGGCTCAATCCTCACCCCTTAGGTCCTTGGGTATGACTCCCAGGCAACACTCAAGCATGAGGATTTTCACATTCTAGTCCTCACTGGGATCCAGCAAACACTTGCGGGTTACAAAGTGCTGTTCCACTACAGCAGCCAGAACRAGACATGCCTTTATCCCAGTGTCCCTGCCGAAACGGCAGCACATGGATAAAATCAGCACTATCTAACATGACCTCAAAGGGCAGTCTGGTCTAGAATTGGAAAGTAAAATTCTTCACATCTAGTATCAACAATATTCTTTAGGAGTTACAGGCAAGACTGTTTACATTCCCCAGCCCCAGTCAGTGCTGCCCACACTTCCAGGCCACTTTAATTACTKGCCCAATGTCACTACTCCCATCTCTTCTCCCAGCACTGACCAACCCAGACTGCAGCTGACACTGCTGCCTTGCAATGTTCTGAAAAATAATTGAAATCCCTGCTGTAATGCTGGTTGGTGTTTCCCGTCCCTGCACTCAACAGTTTACAGAGGACTCTGCTCAGTCCACAGTCAGTAATTAGCCAAAAGTTTTCTAACCACACCTTTTTCCACATGCTTTTTTTTTCCACTTGGTGTGACTATGCCTAGAATAAGAAAAAGTTGTAACACTATGGACACTATAACGAAATCCTGCCAACTCAGGACTACAAGACTTGAGTAAGTGTTTAATTTCCACCATCTATTAAAACAAAATAAAATAAAAATCTTACTTTATGTGGTCAAACTTGGGTTGCCGGTTGGCTAGTTTCCAACTGGACTGATCTAGTTTACTAGGAGCTACTACATGCAAACAGATCTATACTGGGCACAGTGTCTTTTAATTGAAAGATGCCAAGTTCCTTATAAACTTCACATCTTTGAAAGGTAACAGTAAGGAGGAAAATATGTTCTTTTGGGGGAAGAGAGCGTAGCTCCTATTTTTACAGGCAGTGCTGCTTTGCCTTACAAAAGTAGTAGCTAAGCAAGAATTTGTATGAGCAATAAGTTCTGATCACATTCCAGCTTGTGTTTAATTTACGATGAAGGCTTGATATCATACCAATGCAATTTTAATATAACCAGATGGGAGAGTATCACGTCTCTCTCCTCTCCTTTTAGAAATTCCAGGTTAAGAAAGTGAATTATCCTTGTAGGATCCACTGTCCAAAATCTTTTCTCTTGAAGCTGAGAAAGTAAGAAATTAGCTACTGTCATAGAGGTGACACTGTCATAAGAGGATGGAACTTTTCAGGCCATAGAGAGATGACATAGCAACATATCCTACAGTTATGTTGTGAAAGTTGGATACATTGCTTATGAACATTTAAAAAAAAAAAAAGAAAAAAAGGACTCTGCCCATTTCCCTCCCCCCCCCCCTTTCTATACAGTAAATTTAAGGTTCATAGTAACACAGAAAAAATAATATCCCAAAGAGAATCTGGCACTAGAGAAGTGAATTAAGGTCACTGTTCCTACTAATGGGTAAAACAGTAAATTACTCAACCTTCCAGTGAAAACCAGGCAGGCTGGAGTTGACCTATCCCAGATGTAGCACTTCTCTCGCTGCCTTCTGAGCTCCGGTTGAAACTTTCACAGCTTCTGTACTTTCCCAAACACATAGAGTCTGCATTTTCTTTTACCACCCTTTCATCCTTTTGTGCCAGCTGACTGTTAATTGCTCACATTTATTAACTTAACCATAAATTCTGTTTAATTAACTTAGCCCATTTCACCACGTTTCTGCCATGTGATTAATTAGCCCACTGCGTTGCCACTTGGTTGGCTTGGCCTGTATCTGATTCATCACTGGCAACTGCAAAGCTGCCTCCTGCGATAGGGCACGAGGCCATGGAGGTGCTGCGGGGCTCTGCCACAACCTCTCCTCACCACCTCCAGCACCAGCAGGGTCTGCGGGAGTCCTCTGGTGCTGGAGYCTAACAGGCCAGCAGCGCTGTCTCCAGTCCCAAGCATGAGCAAGGGTGCAGATGGGAGAGTGACCAGAGCACAGCATGTTCTGGCAACCCTCGCTCGCTCTGGCAGCTGCAGGGAAGCTGCTGTGCTAGAACATCCCCCTCTCCCGGCCAGCTCTAATTTATGCCAGAAGCAGCTCTGGATGGGGAAGCAGCCTCACCTCAGAGGGACACAATAGAAAAGCGCCTCAGGTAGAGCCTGCAGCAGGGTCCCCAACCCTACGTGCCTGCAGGTCACCCACACCCTGTGCCTGTCCCAACTCTGCCTGTGGCACAAGCCCCATCCTCCTGTCTCCCACTGAGCTGCTTCTGGTCATTCCCGCACTTCCTCTCCCCATCCCATCACCCTCTCACCTGTCAGTGCTGTGGCGATGATGGCAAGAGGAACATGAGAATAACAGCAGGAGGGAAATGAAAAGAAAAACTGTGAAAGAGCAGAAAGTATCAGAGCTCTTGTCCCAAGAAAGGGTAAAAGCAGTGCAGGTCCCTCACTGCTTTTCTTCCATTCATCCACTTTGTAGGACTGGAAACACCATCCCTACAGCTATCAAGCAAAGCACTAGAGCACTCTCCTGGCCAAGCATGCAGCAGGTGAATCCAGGGAGTACTGATGCAGCTGCACATGCTGCATGCACGTAACTGCAASTGAAACACAGCTTGGGGCATTTACAATCCACAGGCCACAAGCCACAACTACCCTAGGAGCAAAGGGCTCAGTGYGAGACCAGTGAGGTCATCAGCACGTCTGATAGATGTTTCCAGCTTCAGTGCTCTGAGGCCAGTAGGCCTCATTATATTTGCACTRTGGGCAGGGACCTTAAAGCTCTTGAATAAACACATACACACAATACACATGCAAGGACATTTGCGAAGAGTTACTTACGCAACACATATTGAAGACATTAGCATGGTTGTTCTTCTGTCTCTACAAAGGACTTCAACTAACTTAGCTGAAAGATTAGGGTTTTTTTCCCTCTGTCTTGTATAAGTGTTATTGTAACTGTCAGGTATATCCCTCATTAATTAGAAATGGTTGTGACATGTTCAGAAGAGCACCACATGCAGCCTCGCAGTGCATGTAGTAACTTCACTGCCTCACGTGCTACCACCAGTCCTGCAGCCAGCGGAGCACACATGGGAGCAGAGTCCAGCCCTGCATGACAGCAGTCAAGCGAAGCCTCAGAGGTGGTCTGTACCCRTAGCCCCCAGCCTCATCTGCAGTTAACACCCAGCACATTATATACTGCAGGCATCTACTTGCATCTTGCTCTCCAAAACACAAGTTTCATGGGGCTGCTGGCAGAGGATCCCAGGAGCAACATGATGCCTGAAAACTAAGGGCTGGGGAGTACCAATATGTGCTGCCACATGCAAGTCCCAGTTCATTCACCATCAGTGCTGCCCCCATGCTCCCTTGGTTGGGCTCCACACCCCCCTACATGTCCTGCACCCTAGACTGGACTCTTCCATTGGCCCCAAGCCCCTTGGTTGGCCCCTGCATCCTTCACAGATGCCATATCCCCTTCAGGTGCTCCTCAGCGAAGGGGCTGAGGCTGAGCCCAGGATCCCCTAAGTCCACCCACAGGCCCTGCAACCCTCGCCGGAGCCCTGCATCCCCTGGCTGTGCCCCACATATCCTGTGTGCCCACATCAGGGTCGCTTTCTCCTTCATGCCCATGGACTGGGGTCCTGCCTCCCCCCGGCCAGCAGGAGCGGCCCGAGGGGCCCCGCCGCTCCCTCAGCCGGCCTGGGCCCGGGGGGCGCAGCGCGACCTCCCGCCGCCGGCAGGGGGCGCCCGGGCTCCGCCCGCCGCGCCGTTCCTCGACAGCGCGCGGGGGGCGGCGGCCGCGCCGCTCCGCCCGCGCGCAAGCCCCGCGGAAACCCCCGCGCAAGCCCCGCGCAAGCCCCGCGGAAACCCCCGCGCCGGCCCCGGCGCGCGGCGCTCCTGCAGCAGCTGCCTCCGCGGGGCCACCTCTTCCAGCGATGACATCGGTTTTTCCCCTCCCGTTTGCATTGTATCGAGGCGCGCGTCCCACACCCTGACATTTACGGCAATCTGGGCACGTTTTTCGGTCCGCTTGAGTAATAAGTCGCAGGCTGGAGGCGCGCGAGTTGCGGCGCCGGAGCCCGCCCGTGCGCGCGGGGAACCTCCGCGCGCTGCCCCGCTCCGAGACTCCCCAGCAGCCCGAGAACACGCTTCCTTAGCAGGACTATATATCTATATTACATACATATACATCCTCACATTATAGCTACCGACTTCTTTTCCCCTCTCCGGCAACAAGCTTCACAGTAAAAGCCACCCATCCCTATATTTGACTCGACTTTGTTTCACATCTGCCAAGTCTTACTCATTTTTTGGAATGAAACTCCTTCCTTTCGGTCTTTTTTTTTTTTTTTTTTTCCTCTCCCTCCCCACAAAAGAAAGAAAAAGAAAATTTAAAGTCTCCCCGTCCCGGGTTAAATTTCTGCAACACGTTTCAATCGCGAACGGATAAAGCGCGCCCCTGACACTTCTTTGCAACAAAAGGGAAGCCCCCCCCCACACACACACACACACACACACTCCCCCTTGCCCAGACCTTGCGCGCCCGGCGGGCGGGCGGGAGGCTCCCTAGGCAGCCGCGGGACGACGCGGGCAGCCCGGCGGCCCCGCACCCCTTTGTGCGACCAAGTTAGGTCGGGGCCGCCGAAGCGGCTCGGGCTCCTCCGACGAAGGGGCTCCTGCCGCCTTTTTTTTTTTTTTTTTTTTCCTCCTCCTCCTCCTTCCCTCTCCTTTTCCCGCCGCCGAAACTCCCTGGTTCCTTTCACGATGCTCTCACTTTCTTTGTAACACAAAGGAGGGACCCCAAGGAGTGAGGGAGGGGGGAAGGCAGTGTCCCCCCGAGAAGCTGCCCGAGGGTGTAAGAGGGGGGCGTTTTGCTCCACTGACCTTGTGATCCTCCTCCTCCTCGCCCACCCCCCCTTTTAGCATGAAAATGTGGCTCAAAGGACTCCCGCTTTCTGTCTCCTCTGGAGCGATGCTTGTCTGAAGCTCGCAGCCCCACCGCTTGGGTCTGCCCTGGAAACAGCTTTCCAGGAACACCGGGGAGGAGAAAAGGAGGGAAAGTGGAAAGGAAGGAAGGAGGGAAGAAAAGAGAGAAGAAGGGGAAGAAGAGAAGGAGGGAAAAAAAAAAAAAAAAAAAAAAAAAAGGTTCCTGCAGCTCCTGCTACACGTTTTCACAGTGCTTTTGTGCGTTTAATACCCATACAAAATAGCTGCTTCCTTTCTCCCTCCTGAGCCCTGTCGCACGCCAAGGTGCAGCTCTACCTTCCCACCATCCATTCAAACAACCAATACCAAGACTTCTGTCAGCACTTCCACCCCCGAAGTCTTCTATTTCCTAGTTTTCTTTGTTCTCCTCTTTGCACAACGGGATTCTTGTAGATCCCAGAGAATCCTTTCTCCTTTCCCTCCCCGCGTGTTGTTGAACTTACCCAGGTTGCTTAAATTCCCCAGTCATTGATATTCATTATCTCCCCCTGAAGGTCTGCAGTTCAACTCTTTGTCTTGACAGGTACCAACAGCAAATCACTTTAAATCTAAAAATCTTACAATAGGTGCCTACTGCTAAGGAAAAAAAAATGCATTAAAAGAGTATAGTTACCTTAAAAGGTAGTGTACTGCAGAGATTGCAAAAAATCACAACGTGGTTCTAGGCTAGTCCAGAGATCCCAGTGGCCGCATGAAAGAGTAAATCCCCTTGTTAGTGCTGGGAGGAGATGCTGGTTCCGGGTCTCCCCTTCTCCCAGAGCTCGCTCTCCCCTCCCTCCCCACGGGCGAGCACCTGACTCCGGGCTCCTGCGCTGAGTTGTGGTCAAAAGGAGCTCGCCTGCAAGTTCAAATGCGAGCCTCCGCCACCCATCATTATTATATCGTTGTACCGTCAGCGCTGCAGAGGAGGGGCGCTGGCTCGGGGAGAGGAGGGTTCAGAGGCTCTTCAAGAGCCTCCTTGCAATTGCAGAGCTCCCACAGCTGCTCGGCGCAGGAGAGCCCCCAGCGCCTGCCCGGCGCGGGGGGAGCAGCGCGACCGCCCCCGGCCCCGCCGCTGCCGCCCCCCGGCCCGGCCCCGGCCCTGGTCCCGGTCCCGGTTCCGTTCCGGGAGCGGCGCAAGAGCCGCGCTTCGGCAGCGGCGGAGAGCGGCTCAGGCTGCGCCGCTCGGCGCGCAGGCATCAGCCCTCGGGAAAGTGTGAAAGAAACATTGTTCCCTAATTAAATAATTAACTGGGAAGAGAATGAAGAGACCTCCTCTGCTCTGGCTCCCAAGGCCAGCTAAATGGGGAAAGTGACTGGGTCTGAAATCCTCTTTTTTTTTTTYTTYTTTTTTTTTYCCTTCTCTTTGCCTCCCCCAATCTCAGCGGAGGTTGTAATAAAAGAATATATTGGTAATTGTTCCAAACTTCCTCCGACTGTGCCAATTCACAGGCAGTCTCACATCTACAGCCTCCCGAGCCAAGCTTCTCCACCCTAGCTTTACGCATCTCCAGCCGCTTTTCTTTTTTTATTGAGATTAGAGGCTGTGCTTGCATCCAAAACCCATGGAGATGAAGTCATGAGCAGAACTCTAACCCACCCTTCTACAGAGGACTCTCACCGATTAAAGCTCGACCCCTATTTCACATGCAACTCCTTTCCCAAGATGTACCTATCCTGCTGTGTGACAGAGGCACCCTTCAAAAGGCAGAAAATCCTGGCAAGCAGCTGTGCCCTGGCACGTTCACTCCCAGAGGAGCACGCACCACATTCTCCTCCCCTCCAGAAGGTGTAAATCCAGGCCCAGCAAAGAGAAGCCTGAAGAAATAGGTGTGTCTGATCTGGGCACGTTTCTGGCAGCCCCAGGCGCTAACGCTAGGAAGATGCAGGAGGGGGTTTCCTTCAGTGCCTCTCGCTATTATTTTTCCGGCTCCTGTATCCCTGGAGTTTTGCTGACAGAGAGTTTGAAACAAGCCCAAAGCATTTCCCAACACAGTCCTCAGTGCCAAGCTGGAGAAGTGAGAGGTGGAAGAGACTGTGGCCAAGCAGGGGGAGACAGAGACCTGGGGGCTTCGCTAAGATCACAACTGTCTGAGTAGGACTGCGAGGATCAAATCCTTATCTCGCCTCCAGAGATTTGGCTTGTTGCTCTTTCCTCCTTAAATAGGGTAAATCCATAATTACTCACTACCATGGGCTTTAAGAAGTGGCTAATCCCTTCTCCTATGTGAGTAAAGGCTATATTTGGCCACAGCAGCCCCTCAGCACTGGCCCCTCAGGTTCCACTTGTTGTGGGTCCGAATCATCATGTTCAGCCCCTTTGCAAGCAGCCTGGAGCTGCTGAACATCAGCCGGCAGGCTTTTTAAATCCTGAAACATCATGCCGTGAAAGAGTTGACAGAAATGTAACTTGATGCTTTAAAATGTGTGCTATAAAGAACTGCATATTTTGAGGCTTTTTTAACGCAAGAAGTTTCACACAAAAGCATTACAGTTCATTTTTGAGCCATGGGGGGTGGGAAGGGCATAGCTGCTCTTTGCTTCCCCCATGTGAGCCTGGCCCTCCCTGCCTAGCCACCCTTCCTGCTGAGGCCATGCGCACTTCCTCTGCACAATGTTGTGATTAAGGGAGAAAATTGAACTTTGGATTTCTTCAGCATTGGTTCAGAACAGCYCTCCACCTCCCCGCTCTCCATAACATAAGGAACTGTGCGCTACGCACGTATAGGCTACTGCTCCCTCTCACCATAGGTCTGTGGGCCACAGGCCAAATCCTTTGAAGACACATGCATGGTTTGCAGCTCTCTTGGTTGGCTCCTCTCCTTTGTGTCAGTGCCATGGCCATAGCCCATTCCCTTTCCTGCAGCTCTTGGACAATGTGATAAACCTCCTACCACCATCCTAGGCTACAGAAGAGGGGAGCAGGGTGTACACAATAGCCCTGTTTTTCTTCACCTGCCCAAGCCAACCTCCAGGAGCTCTGCAGAATGAATGAGGAACTCCTAAATGATCAGGCATCAAGGTCAAACTGATGTTAGTTCAGATGTCCCCTCCATTTCTGCCACCCTTCACATCTTTCCAGCTTTTAACRGTCAAAATAGAAGCCAGGGCCCTGGTCTAGCTCCTCCATTACCTCTTGACATAAAGCCACTGAAGATTAAGTTATTTGCTCCTGGCTAAGGAAGGAAAGAAAAGTCATTGAATTCCTTCTCTCTCTATCCCTGGGGAGATCTTAATTCCCTTGCAGAGCTAGCACCCRTAGGCTGGGGCACGAGCTTTTCCTCATAGCTCTGGACACAACAGGAGCAGACAGGAATAGCCAAGGTGGGGAAGGCCCCCCCACACTGGGGCACCCCCTGAGTCTGAGGTTTCAGAAAGAGGGCTGCTCCTGCCAACCCCCGTGGAGGGAAAGGAGATGCTGGGAGATGGGTACCAGTAGGATTTGGCAGGGGTTGAAGGGCATTACTCTATCTTTGCCAAGGGGCACTGCCAAGAAGCAATGACAGGTTAAACCACAGAGCTAACGAAGTGCGGAACAGCCTCAGGTGTGCTCTCTTCTATCTCCTTTTTATTTTTCCACCACGGGAGAGAAAAGCGATGATTTCTAAAGAAAAGTCCTGCCCCCACCCCAAGCACCGGAGCCCTGATGGGACCCGGACGGGCAGACGTTCATTCATAGCGAGGGGAAGAAAGCGCAGGCTGCCGAAACCGCCTCGTTCCCCCTCCTCCTCCTCCTCTTCCTCCTCCTCCTCCTCCTCCTCCTCCCCCTGCCCTCCCGCGGGCGCCCCGCGGGACCCGCCTGGGCGCTGCGTGGGGAGCGCTGCGAGCCCCGCGCCACGCGGGACCGGCCGCGGCTCCCGGCGACCCCGCGGAGCCTCCGGGCCCCGCGGGCGCCTCCGCGGCTCCCTCCGCGCTCTCCCGTCTTTCTGGGGGCCTGGGAGCGCCGGGAGGAGGGACGCGCTGGGGATGCAGCGGCAGCCGCACAAAGGAGCGCGCAGCCCCCGGGAGCGCCTTTTATGCCCTTACTAGAGGCGCGGGGAGAAGCCCGTTTCTGAGGAGGAGGAGGAGGAGGAGGAGGAGGGAGACCTCCCAGCTGCCGGCTCTCCCCTCGGGACACAAAGGCACACGCAGGGGAGCAGGCGGCTCCGGCCAGCCCGGCGTGCAGGAAACGTGGGGCTGGGGGCAGGCAAGGAAAGGGAGTCATCCAAAGGCTCGTCAAGCCCAGAAGGAAAGAAAACACTAGAGGCAGGAGGCTGGCTTACGCGAGAGCCCCTCAGGGTTTTTAAGAATGGTGAGAAGCATCAGAGAAGGTGAAGAGGTAATCAGGCTAAAAAAAAAAAAAAAAAAAAAAAAAGCCCGACCTCTAAAATCTTCCTTTTCTTTCCGTCCTGCTTTATTTAAAGCTCTCCTTTTACCATGAAAGCTATCATTGCTGCACTGAACTAAAAATCACCCAGAAAAGAAATCTTTTTCTCCTCTCAGCAAGACCGTGCAAACTTCCTTGCCGTCTGAGGCCTGAAACATAGTCTGATTTACCRTGGACATCGAACATTTCTCTCTGTAAATAGTTTAGGCAAAGTAGAAATAGTAAACCTTTACATAGGTTGCCAAATGTCTCCCGTGATAAATCATTGTTTTCAGATGTTCAGACTTCTGTGAACCTCCCCCCTCCAACAACAGGAAAATGTTTGGGCTTTGTCTCAATCCTAAAAGCAATATTGTTTGAGGGGAAAAAAGATCCTATTAGCTACATCATAGTCCTGAGACGATGAAAAATATTATTTTCATTACAGACTTTTTAAGCACAGGTTTTATGTTTGCTGACTCAACGACGGTTATTATTTTACATGTGAAACACAGACCTTAAATGGTTCTTTATGAGAAACCATTGTTTCTGAAATATCTGAAATTAATTAGATTGAGGCAATGGCCAATGTGCAGATGTCAAACTGAGCATCTGTGAAGAAAAAGCTTCCCATCTCTTGAAACAATATTAAGACTTAAGAGTCTGAAACATAGTCAACCGAAGAAAAATACATTTACCTAGTGTAAGTTCTCTGGTGCCAACTTCTGTAGTTTTACTATCTCTTAGTTTTTTTATCTTTTTTTTTTTTTTCCCYTCTCCTTTTTCCTCCTGAACTGGTGTGAGTGAAAAGCCATAAAAGTGATGGAAATAATTCATGTAATTTGGATGCCAGCAATGCTAAGGTCAGTTCAGGCAAATCGGAGATCCTTGTGAAGTTCTTCTATTTGGCCTACTAGTTCTAAAGGTCTAACTTCCCATTGCCTTCTACTTGTAACCTGTGGTGCCATGCCAGCTGGGATGAAAATTAATCCATCCCTCCAGTTTTCCTCTTAAAGGTATAAGAATGTATGCGATTCTAATGTAAGTCAGTTATCTAGAATTGTTTCCAAAAACCACAAAGTCATTCAGAACAATAGACTTCTGCAAGCTCTCAGATTCTGTATTGAAGAAAAGCTTTGCTCAAGTCATTCTCTTTCATATGCTTTAAGCCAAAACATTTTTACAGACAAATTAAAACTCTTAAAAGTAATCAACCTTAGCAGCGGCTGTAACGATAGCATGTACAACCCCTTCTCAAATGAAACACTTGACTGCTTATGTCAATGTTTCTTTTGTGGCAAAACCCTTCTCCACCTATTTTTGCTCTGTATTTCTGTAGCGGAGGAGACAGCACTAAGCTATGAAAAACCATGAATAGTGTGTTTCATTTGGTAAAAGAACAAACCACAATTGACGGTTAGGCATTATTTCTGCATTAACTGTAATGATGCAGACACTGCATTATCTAAACAAAGATAGTCAGCTTCCAGCACAGTTTATCAGAAGGAGGGCCAGGACACTAAGGCTTTCGGCGGCATTTGCCTATGGCAAAGACCCCTGTGACAGATGTATATTTTTTTCCCACGTTTTAATGCCTTATTCTGTTCTAATTCCTCAACTCTGAAGGCAAAGGGCCAGTCTGGGATATTTGCACATATGCAGGATGGCTCTGCTTCCACGGCTGGTC